TTCCTGCTGGCACTATGTTCCCAGCAACAGGGAAATGCCGCAACCCCTTCACAACAGGTTTTGCAGGACCTGGGGGTCCTAAGATAGTGGGTGCCTGTGAAGTGTCAGGGAAGTAGGCCTCTGAACCAAAAGGGCAGCGTGGGTTCCCCTGCCAGGCTTGGCCAACAAGCTGCCAAGAGTGGAGAGGGGGAGCAGCCTTCTCCAGGTGGCAGGGATGGCCCCGCAGCAAAGCAGCAGCAACACACCCAGCTGCTTCCTGAGCCTTGGAGCACCTGGCCTGGGGTCCAGAGCGGGTCCTATTAGGTATTCTCATTAGCACCAGAGTTTCAGCCTGGGAGGAGGTGTGCCGGCCCTCGGGTAATGAGCCTCAGTGATTCCACAAAGAGCAAAACCTGCTGGAAGTATTTCAAAACCAAACTCTCCCTGCCCCTCACCCCGCAACTTGAAAAATAAATAATAAATAAGGCCTGAAACTACCTAAGAAACCACCTTAGTGAAAAATCATTGCTAGGTCTGTTCCCAGGGTCTTGGTGTTCTAACTGGTTTTTGGTTTGGTTTTTTTTTTTCCCTTCTACGGGCTGTAGTGGGAGTTCCAGAAATTACTAAGGCATCCTCAATAATTACTAGGTTATTGAGGAAACCTAATCTATGGATTTTTAAAGTAAACTTCACTTTGAAGAATGAGATACATCAGAAAAGTGCCCAGGTCGTAACTATAGATCCTAATGAATTTTCACAAGGTAAACTTACCTGTGTGGTCAGCACCCAGACTGAGAAATGGAACATTGCTAGCACGCCAGCAGGCCCCTTATACCCCACTCAGCCACACCCGGAAAGGGCAGCCAACACCCTCTGAAAGCAGCAGCTGGAGGCCTGGAAGAAGCCAGGGGCCTTTGGCAGATGTGGACTAGAGCCTGCTCCCTGTCAGCTGTACTGATCTTGGAGGGTGGGGAGAGCCAGGGATGGGGCAGGAGCAGCTCGTGGTCAGGAGTGGGGGCAAGTCTGGGGAAAAGGGTTCTTTCAAGAGTCAAGTTTGCCCTTATGGGTGGTGTCAATGGCAACCCCTACTGGTGAGATGTGGTATTATACCACCATGTACACTGACCACAGGGGACAAAGAGGTGATCAATTTCCCTTGGCTGCCGGGGTAGGTCAAGCAGTCTCCGAACATGGTGATGTTCCTGGGGTCAAAAGATGTCTGGAGAGAGATGGCGGCAGAGAAGTTCAGAGAGTTGAGAAAGTGCTGCAAAGCTCTGCCTACAGAAAGTGTCCTATTGGAGGAAAGGAGTAGCCATGCATCACACAACTAGCTAGCATTGTCCCTTCTCCCTCCACTAACGGATTCCTGTTCAAATCATGTCTGCTGTTCTGTGGGCACAAATACCTGGTTCTATCAGAGTAGTGGGTAAGAATACAGAATTCCTGTAAATAAATCCACTTTATGGTCAACTCACAGAAATACAGCCATCCTGTAAAGTGAGGCGATGCCTTCTCCGCATCCGTGACTCGTGCTCGGTCATACGTTACCTGAAATCTAGTTGCAGATGTGCTTTTCTGCCCCCAGTTATAAATTTTATCTTTAAAAGGGTTCAGTGTCTCTAGAGTTCCCCAGGAGTAGAACAATACAGTCATTTTTTGAAATACATCTATTTAAAGAGAGCTCCTGGCCCGTTTCTCCCACACATAACTCCTCTGGGCATTTATTCATTCTGTAGTCATGAGTGCCTCCTAGGCTACAGGGGTGACAGGACCTTCTTTAGCTTCTTTATGGAACTTACTGTGGCCAGGGGAGGGGCAGACACATAGTACGCAAGGAAATACATCAGCAAAAGAGAGTGAGAGCATGATAAATGCTATGAAAAAAATGAACTTGGACAACGATGTAGTCTCTGGTGCAAGGCCTAATTTAGAGAGGATGGCAAGAAAAGTCTCCCAGAGGAGGTAGCATGTGAACAACCACCTAAGTGAGGAAAAGCTTCCAGCCACGCAGAGGTCTGGAGGGAAAGCATTCCAAGTGGGGGAACTGCAGGAGCTCAGGCTCCAGGTGGGAACGTGCTTGATGTGCTGGGGCAGCAGGAAGCAGTGGGACACAGGAGAAAGTGTAGGAGATGAAATCAAATGGCACGGAGCCTTTCTCCATGGTGGACATTTGGGGTTTCTCTCCGTGTGAACTGAATAGGCTAAAGCCTCCAGTGGTGTTCTATTCAGTTCACATGGAGGGAAAAAAAAAAAAACAAAAAACACATAGCTTATGTCCAGGGTGAGACATGAGCTGTGTGTTTTGGGTTTTTTCCCCTGTGGTTTTACACGTTTTTAGGGGTTTTTCCCACTGTTTTAAAATTGAGTTTTGTAAATTAAACTTTTTATTTTGAGATAATTGTAGAGTCACATGCAGTTGTAAGAAAATATACAGAGAGATACTTTGTTTCCCCCATTGGCAATATCTTGCAAAATGACAGTTAAATATCACAACCAAGATATTGACATGATACAGTAAACATGCAGAAAACTCCCATCACCATAACGATCCCTCATGTTGCCCTTTTACAGCCACACCCATATCTCTTCTGCCCTCACTCCCTCCTTATGCCCCGGTAACCACTAATCCGGTCTCCATTTCTCTAATTTTATCATTTCAAGAATGTGATTTAAATGGAATCATACAGTATGTAACTTTTTAGGATTGGATTTTCTCACTTAGCATAATTGTCTGAAGATTCTTCCAGGTCGTCGCATGTGTTGATAGTTTGATTCTATTGCTGACTAGTACTCTGTGGTATGGACAGATCACAGTTTATTAACCACTCACCACTGAAGGACGTCTGAGTTGTTTCCAGTTCT